CTCTTCTCTATTACTTACCGACCGAACCGAGCTCCGAAACATTCCGAAAATACCTCCAAAAAATTCCGGCGAGGGAATGTCGTTCAACAAGATGTGCATCGCTGCGGCCGGCCGGTCAAACCGGCCGTACTGGCGCCGGCCTACCAAAGACCGCGGCTGATCAAGGTCCGGTCGGCTTGACTTTTTCGGACAGGCCATGCCTTACCTGGCCGCTAGGCTTACTTTTGTGTTGCCTAATATTATTAAAAATAACACTAAAAAATTACTATTAGAATCGAGGAAGAGTGTGCGGTCCCACCAGATAAAGCGCATCATAAAAAGGTGAGCTTAAGTGCACCTTAATAGATTTCCATCCCAAAACCAATTGGTGATGGGAAGAATATATAGCTCACTAGACTTATAAACTAAGCTCATTTACCCTGTAAAATCAATGTGGGACAATTCACAAGAGATATTTCAACATGAAGCAAACATTCTTTATCGATGAAAAAGTACAGGAAGACACTACTAAAGTTCCAAATTACAACAAAACACTCGAATTACAAGAAGCCATAGCTTTTTATTAATAAAAAGGCTTAGCGCATTTCAGACTTATGTCGAACATCCCCTGTCAAAGGTACTCGAGCTGCAACACTTGTCATCATCACATGCTAGATCGAGAGTCCCCAGGCATGACATTACCAACAAGACTGCGAATGCTAATCCTACTGCGCATGGCACGCGTGTTGGCATCTATGAGTGGCGTGCAGTTGAGGGTAATCAATGCTGGCCTCACCAACATATCCTCAAAGTCCCAGTGAGTCTGTTGCGTGAAATGCATCCCGTCCCAGTATATGTAGTCGTTCGGGTTTCTGCAAACCGGGACTCCTTTATCTCCACAGAATCTCTTGAAATCGAAATTGTATTTCCCTCCAATCCCACAGCATGATTTCAATGCACTGTTTCCATTTGGACCTGTAATTATTGCCAATGAGTTCTTCATTACTGTTAATTGGTCAAAATTTTTCAATTAACTCTCACTAAATGATAGTATTAAAGAGATAGAATTTTGCCTATGACTGATGCATTGGCAATAATTGTGCGGATGCCATCATAAAGGCCGCCGTAGAGTATCAACACGTTTGGAAATTCGCGTCGAAGATCGTCCATGGCCCTTAGGAGATAGTCGTTTTTCCAAACTGCAAGCTCGTTTACGCTTTTCAAACACCCGAGCTCGTCATATGCAGTCGGGTCCTTTGTTTGTAGAGCGGTCAAAATGAAAGGGTAGCATCCAAGAGGTCCATTTCCAGGAATTATCACTCGCCTTGCACCTAACTTGATGGTCTCCTGTTTTTGTATTATGGATAAGCGAAACTAGCCGTTACTATTGAAATTAATATTAATAATAAAAGGTCCAAACAATTACGGACTTGGACTGTTGTGAGTGAGATTATAAAATTACACTTTTATTTAATTCTATTTTTCTTAAAGTATGATATTTAAATATGAAAATATGTACATTAATTAATAAAATAATAACAAGATGTTTCAAAAAGTTGGCTTAATTAAAAAAAAATATATATTTATCAGTCTAAAGTGTTCACTGCTCCCTTCAAAGAAGATTCATGCCAAAAGGAGTTATTGACAAAAGTCCAATGGTATTCCACACTTGTAATTTTAAATGATACAAGTGGGTTGATATGAATTGACTACACTGTATGGGTAGTTTTGTAAATATCAGGTACTCTACATACTGCTTTACATTTAGATAAGATAAATGACCATACTACAGACATTTAAAATTCAAAAAATGACGAATAATTGAATTTTTAGGTTGGTTGGATTTATTACCCTTGTCGCATCAATTTGAGCTTTTATAATAGCCGGCACATATGACCTGGCTTCCTTGATAGTCTTCCCTTGAGTCAACGCATACGTAATATCATTGCCTTCAATGTCTCCCATCAAAACCAGAGAGCTCCCAATCCATTCCGAGCATTCTAACAATCACAGCACAAATCAAAAGAATTATATACATGAGCTTTACAACTATTAGAACGTAAGGAATGTGTGTTAATTAATTACCGGATCGCGAGTCGCAAATGGTTTTAAGATGTCTTTTAAACCAACGCATTTGTGTGCTAAGGGGAACTGCATAAGGTGGAACAACAATATTGCGCTTTTTGAAGAAGCTGAAGTCCAACACTGGGCTCCGAGCCGTCGAGAATATGACGCCGTGATACTCGGCCGCCCTCGAGTGGTTCATGTTCAAGTAAGGTACAATTTCAGGCAGCCCAAAATCCTCAGCTGCAGATTAAAATAATAACATATCCATTGGGTCCCACTCATATAAATAATAATAATAATAAAAAAAAAATATTCTCTCATTTTTCTAATATGTGTTGTTTGATAAGTTAGCAAAAATTTTTTTTGTTCATTAATAAGGATAGAAATTAATGTTTTAAGAAAATACTAAGAGTGAATACGAAAAAATGTAGTGTATTTATTAGCTAGATGAGAAAAATAATGAAAAAATATGTATAAAAAAGATTCAAAACGTTATTTATTTGGTTAATTGTTAATATATAGTCTGAATACATTTCAAGATTTTGAAAAGGAAAAAAAATAAAATTAGTAATAATAGTGAGGAATAATATAGGGAATTAAAAAGTCCCTTTTTGGAACCAAAGGTCTTAATTAGCTAGTCAAACAAGTTCATTCAAGAACTTTATTATTCGAAGCTATTTTTCAGATTCATTTGGCCAAGTGTAAAATAACGACCTTCCCCGAGTATAAAGATAATAACCAAAACTACTTACCATATTTTAACAAGACTACAAATTTGTGCACTGTATATTTATATAGTTTTGCTACGAATACAACTGTTGATTTCATAACAAAATTGTATATTTATAAATGAATTTGTCATACCCGTGTAGTCAAAATCGACACGGCCGTCAGACCAACGGCCGGTAGGATAACCGGGATAAGTCATGCCGTACGGCTTTCGTCCAGCCGGAATTTGAACTTTTGGGAGAACATAAATGGAGTTGCCGTTATCCGTGACTCCATCTCCAAAGTGGTATAAATACTCGAAAGGGCAGCTTGGGCCTTGGGATAATCCCGGCCCGAATTGAAGGACTAAGAAAACACACACGATTTTGAACATGGATGAGGCTAGGCCACACACTTGGACCTTCATGCTTGCTAAATTTCTCTTTGCAACTGTAATTATTCAGAA